TCTCAAAGTAGCAAGAAAAGCAGAGCAGGATATTGGCAAGAAACCGATCCAGCTCTTTGCTGCTGTGAATATTTTGGCAAAAAATATTTAGAATCATAGAGCTGCACTAATGTAACTGCAGCTAAAAATGAGCTTTAAATTAACTTTTAATATAACTTAAGACAATAAATAGGAAGAAATCAGTAAATACAAGTAAAAAAGAACAGTAAATAGTATGAAAATATAAAAGTCATCCTCATAGTATTAAAAAATTAAATACATAGTAAAATAAAATAGAATAAAAATTTTAAAACTTACTTTAGCAGAGATATAAAACGTAGAGGAATGGGAAGCATGTACACTCTTAAAAATAAAGGTGCTTCACGATGCCATAGAATAACCTTTTGGTCTAAATGGTTCCATAAAGAACCTTTAACATCTGAAGAACCTTTCTGTTTCACAAAAGGTTCTTTGTGACGAAAGAAGGTTCTTCAGATTATAAAAAGGTAAGAAAGAGATGGTTCTTCAAAGAACCTTTGACTGAATGGTTCTTTGTGGAACCAAAAATGGTTCTTCTATGGCATCGCTTGAAGAACCTTTTGAAGCACCTTTATTTTTAAGAGTAGTTCTCCTGTAGCAAACATACTGCTGCCGCTGCAACACATTAAATGTATATTAAATCATCCTGCTTATGGGAAAAAGTCAATTTTTCATGGCTCATATTGATTTCATTATGTACCAAAGTATACAGACCTACATTTAACATCCTGAATTGTTACACATTCCTTTTGTTAGCATTTTATTGAGGTCTTGAAGGCATCCAATTGAGTGGGTCTCACAGTATTTCTTTGAAAAATGAAACTGAGTAAATGACCATAATGACCACCATGCCAGGAGTGTGAAGTTATTAAGCCATAATTATTTCCTGATGTCTGCCAAACATATGAGCTAACTTTAAAAAAACAGAGTGCTTTTGCCACTTCTCCAGTTGCTTCCTGAACTGCTCTTGGTAGATGTTAATTTTAATTTTTTTTAATTTATGCTTTTAGCAGACGTTTTTGTCCAAAGCAACTTACAGTGCATTCAGGCTATACATTTTTTACCAGTATGTGTGTTCCCTGGGAATTGAACCCACGACCTTTTGCACTGTCAACACAATGCTCTACCACTGAGCCACAGGAACACTCCTGTTGTGTGTTCCTGTAACACACAAGTACAAAAAAAGATGTACTTGTTTTTTAATTCTCTTTCACTTCTTTCTTGGCTTTGAAACTGTAAACAAACAAAACCTAATTAGCTGATTTTGAAAAAAAATGTTAAAATGAATAAATATATAAACACACACACACACACACACACACTTGTCTGATTTACTATCCTTGTGGGGACTCTCTATAGGCGTAATAGTTTTTATACGGTACAAACCGTAGCTATATTCTGTAGCCCTACACCAACCCTACACCTAAACCTACCCCTCACAGAAAACCTTCTGCATTTTTACATTCTCAAAAATACTCATTCTGTATGATTTATAAGCTTGTTTCCCCTTGGGGAACTTAATTTAAATCCCCACGGTGACACGAGTCCCCATGAGTCAGCATGCATTCAGGTTTAAGTCCCCACCGGGATAGAAAAACACATACAAACACACACACACACACACACTCAAAACCAAACCAACCCAAATAGTGACAGACTTTTAAAAAAACATCACACTTAAACATCAGTTAACAGGACATGGCACCACTGTCAGGTATTTTTTACCTTATGAACTCCAAGCTTTGTTTTGTCATTTCAGTCCCAACATTCAGAGGAAGGCATCATTACCTGTCATGCAATTATTAGGGGGAATCTGTAAAGCCTTATTTTTCTCTCTTGACCATATTAATGGCTATTTACAATAATAATAATAATAATAAAATAATAATTTAATATAAATTATAATCAGATTTATCTCTTTGACCGGGATACACTTGCAACAATTATATCTGCATTTTTTATAATACAAAATACTAAAAAAGTAAAATACTAAGCCTAATTATGCATAGTGACGATCCATTTCCAAATGCACAGCAATAAAATAACTTCTGAAATTTTTAAATTTATTAAATAAAGTTTTATTCATCATATGTTTTAAATCCGGTTAGGAACAGTTTGATCCACAAATATCATAACTATAATATTTTTTTAATAATATAATTTTTTTGCAATAAAATAAATGTCTCCAATGTTTCTAATGTTTTCACATAATCAAACCACTGAGGAAAATCACTAGTGTGCAGACGGCGGATGCTTGTTCAGTCACTTTCGGTCTGTTCAGATTCATAGTACTGCAATGGTTTTCTAGAACAGTCTCGAACACATGAGCATGTTTTCCTGCCGTTTCAGTCAGTGGTTTTCCCAAAGCTCACTCAAAATATATTCACTGTACTAGTGCTGTAAACTCCGGAACTGGGAGCGTCCACGGCATCCTAGCGACATCCAGTAACCAAAGGATGCTCCCGATAGGAAGCGCCAGTACTACGTGTGCGTTGTATGAGAAGCCACGCCCACTACGTACAAATTCTTCCTGTTATGAAACCGATGCTTGTGAGCAAAGACTTTGATGTGAGATGCTGCTATTCGGGTGGTCACTGAATTGGAAAAGTGAGGTAACAGATCTGAAATCTTTTCAAACTTTTACAGTGACTGCTGCAGATTCGTATTACATGTAGATTAACCTATTTTGGCTGAACATGCCCAGAGCTTTTTTTAAAGACCGGTGAATTGTATTGTGCACTGCCTTAAAAGTGAAAGAAAGTTATTTGTTTGTTTAACATTTATGTTTTTATTGAGTTTAGAGTTTGAGTTCGAGTGTTTTCTTATAAAGCACGTCGCTGCTGCCCAAACTGCTATACAAAACAATAAGAAAACCAACATAGCACAATAAAACAGAACTACATAAAAGTTCTCTCTGTAGTGGGCCAGTAATAGTCCGTTGTTATGAGTCAGAGGATAAATGTATTGATATTGTGACAGTTTTAGCATGAAGAGAGAGTAACAATTCAAAGATGATATATGCGTTGTCATTGTGATTATGCAAGTTGATCAGGTGCTGAAAAACCAGACTACTTTTTGAAGACTTGTTTGAGAGGTTTGGTACTTAATTTGCATTCTTTTCTAACGGCTTAATTAAGGAATTGTGTGCTGGGAAAATGTATTTAGTTTATAATAATAATATTAATAAAGTAAGTGTGTGTGTGTGTGTGTACCCAACAGAATGCAACATTATTAACACATTAACTGAATATGAATATTAAACATTTTTAATTGCAGAAACACCAGTAGAAGTGTTCTATTCCATATAGTCTTGATGGTATTTTCTTTATCTTGCATAGATTTGTTCATGCTCTTTGAGGATAAGTGCATGTCATGTAACTTGTTTAACTTGACAGATGATCTGATAACATAAAAATGGGCCACAGTAGCTTGATTAGATCCACAACATTTGATGTCAACTATAGAACTGATATGGAATGCGTTTCTCCTTATTTTATTTTGCTCTACTAACTCTGCGTAATTATGTGCTTAGTTGTATTTTATTATTTGCACATAGCAACTGTCTGCTACCCTGAAGAGAAGAGAAGAGAAGAGAAGAGAAGAGAAGAGATTTGGTACTTAATTTGCATTCTTTTCTAACGGCTTAATTAAGGAATTGTGTGCTGGGAAAATGTATTTAGTTTATAATAATAATATTAATAAAGTAAGTGTGTGTGTGTGTGTGTACCCAACAGAATGCAACATTATTAACACATTAACTGAATATGAATATTAAACATTTTTAATTGCAGAAACACCAGTAGAAGTGTTCTATTCCATATAGTCTTGATGGTATTTTCTTTATCTTGCATAGATTTGTTCATGCTCTTTGAGGATAAGTGCATGTCATGTAACTTGTTTAACTTGACAGATGATCTGATAACATAAAAATGGGCCACAGTAGCTTGATTAGATCCACAACATTTGATGTCAACTATAGAACTGATATGGAATGCGTTTCTCCTTATTTTATTTTGCTCTACTAACTCTGCGTAATTATGTGCTTAGTTGTATTTTATTATTTGCACATAGCAACTGTCTGCTACCCTGAAGAGAAGAGAAGAGAAGAGAAGAGAAGAGAAGAGAAGAGAAGAGAAGAGAAGAGAAGAGAAGAGAAGAGAAGAGAAGAGAAGAGAAGAGAAGAGAAGAGAAGAGAAGAGAAGAGAAGAGAAGAGAAGAGAAGAGAAGAGAAGAGAAGAGAGCAACTGTCTGCTACCCTGAAGAGAAGAGAAGAGAAGAGAAGAGAAGAGAAGAGAAGAGAAGAGAAGAGAAGATGTCGGCCCAGGCAAACCGAGTGATGGCTTTGTCTGAGTGGAAAAGGAAGGAAGGAAAAACTGGTTTTCACAGACCTGAAATGCAGCAGTAATCACACATACAATACAATACAGATTATTTGAAAGCAGCTTCACAGTAATAAACAGGAAAATAACAGAATCAGTGATCCAAACTTAAATCAAATATGAGACATATTAAAATTCTGCTGTAAAGCAGCTCTAAAAATTCAATAGTGTCAACATTCAGCTCAAGTCAGTTCACTGTTGAGTCAGTTCAATAACAGAAATTATGTTGCAAAATTCTATACTATACTATAGTGAATCATGCATTTTATCACATCATACTGTAGCTCCATGAAATAGAACCAGTACCAGCCATTCCTGGAGCAAAGGTTTTCAGGGTATTTGAAGGGCTCACATTTGTCATCTATATTGTTTGCTGGACACAAACCAATGATAAAATTAGCCTTATAAGATTACAGTGCCCATAAATCATACATTGAGTTATTATCCACCTTATTTTGCAATGCAGAAGTAAGCCATTTGAATGTGCGAGACTTCTGATTAATTAGCTGCTGTAGGTAAATAACTTGAACAATAACAGTGCAGTAATGTTAAAATTTTTTATTTAAAACAATATTGTAATAATGAATTAAAATAATATTATTACAAATACCAGTTTGCAATATAAAGTAGCATAACGGACTGTTTTTGTACAGCTAAAAGTAACTGGAAGCAAATGAGGTTAGGCATAAGGTGGATGCACGTGTATTGTTATAATGGCAGTTGGCTGTGTCTTATCGGCTTGCTCTGATTTATACAGATGGATACCCCTCGGTGTAATACACTCCCACTGTGAGATGGTCACAGTGCTTTAGCTTTCTTTAATGGAAGTAGACGGCGTGATGTTTTTGTGTCATGATCTCTCAACTGATGCATTTTCCTTGTTCTCAGAGTGCAGATGGAAAGATCTCCATCTATCAGTGTGATTTATACAAGTTCTCCAGGTACATTTTATACTTTCTAATTTTAGATGATAAAACATGTCACATGAAGCACATTTAAATGCCTCTCTGTCATTTTGGTCCATATATAGTGCTGTTGCAGGAAAGTTCGGAGGAATTTGGGATAGAGGAGCGCTGGTGGCTATAAACCCATGTGACAGGCGAAAGTAGGTTTTAAATAAATCAATATTTTATGTCCTTTTATTTATTAATTCATTTAAGTGGGATTGTATGTAAATACATACTCTCTTCATCCCCAAGGTATGCTACTCTCCTTATGTCCTTAATGAACAATGACTGCAGATACCTTCTGGACACAGTGGAATATAATTCTGAGCTGTATAAAGGTAATGTTAGAGGGGAAAAAAACATATGGAATAATTCATTATTATTATCAGTCATTATAAAGCATATGTGTCTTGTCTTTAGTATTTGATCTTTTCTGTTGCCACATTTGACATACAGGTCCACCATTCTTTGTATCGGAAGAGGATGTAAAAAATGAATTTGGTGAGTTTTGGTCACTGTTCTGAAACGTCATTCTTACCTATTTCGTACCTAGATGTTTTCATCATTTATTATGTATTATAGAACTTTTATTTCTAAATAGTTTTATGCAATAATCATGGCGATGTCTCTCATATTTCAGGAGGTGGATGTGACATTGAATTGCTGGAGTCTGTAGATGCCTTTGGGGAAAAGTACAAATCATGGGGACTAGATTCACTGATAGAGGAAGTGTACCTTCTTACTCTAAAAGCCCATTGATCAATCATCAAATCTACTGGAGGGTGATTCAAAAGTAAAGATTACTTAATAATGCAATAAATAATTCAGAAAAATACAGTGTTATTGGAAGACAATTTGCAATTTTCTATTTTGATAACAGTGGCCTGAAAAGTTACTGACTCAATAGTTAAACGTAATGTCAAAGATTTTAATAAATTATCATTCTTTTTAAAATCGTTTCTGTTTATTTCATAACTAGACTAGAGTAAAGTGATGTGAGCACTCAGTTTGACCACAAGAGGGCAGTAGCTTGACATATTTGCACATAATGACATTTTCGTGCGTTTATTTGCACCCGCGAGTTCTTACTCAGTACAGGTCCCAAAAAATACAGTTGACCGTTCAGTTCTGGAGCGTGAATTCTTCAGGTGCTGCAGACCAAACACTTCTATTCGGCGACTCTGCTACTGAATTTACAGTGCGACCAGTGTAGCCCGCGATTTCCCAATGAATGAATCTTATGAGCAGATTCTTTTTACTGAATAGGAAACATAACGCCTTCCCGGACTCCAGTTTGAGTTCTCGACATTATGAGATTTTATGTAATCAGTGGTATTTTATAAAAATAAATGAATTCAGTGTGTTTATATCTATTTCATATCCAATATATATATATATATATATATATATATATATATATGTATGTATAGTATATAAACAAACACAAATGCCGCCAGTCATTTACTCAAATCATATGAATACTTATGAATTCTGAATGCAAGTTCCAAGACTGAATGATATATATGCACACTATTTTTAATATATACATTATATATACACTTGTGTGTGTGTGCGTGTGTGTGTGTGTGTGTGTTTTAAAAAAGGCTACCTTTGCTGAAAATCCAGTACTTGGGTTTCAGTTATATATATATATATATATATATATATATATATACATACATATATATATATATATATATATATACATACATACATACATACATACATACATATATATATATATATATATAGCCTATACGTTAATGTCCTCTCTAAAATGCCTATTAAAAGTCATTAAAAGCACAAACTTATTAAAAAAATGAAACATCTCTGATTTGTTATATTGGATATATGTTCTGTTTAAATCTGGCAATAGACCCTACGAGGCCATAAGAAATGCATTTCGTTTTTCCAAATATTTATCGGGCAAAAGTACTGAAAGAATCGTTAATAAGGCCGTTCAAGGAATCATTAATAGAACTCAGATTACGATTCCCATCTCTAATCATAACCGTATGATGATAACTTTTTTTTTTAAACTAGGATAAGTAGTTTGTCAACCTTCAAGTCGTGAAGATCTTTTCTGGTTTAACGCACAGCGTCAGTTCGCGACCTCCGGCGACAGTGACGCGCACCGCTGGCCAGATGTGCGCCTGTTTACTTTAAATATAGCTCGTGCGAAGGCACCCCGAGTCTCTGAGCCAATCACGACCGCCGGGGGCGGGGCCGACTGGAATGTTGTGGATGCGAGAAAATGAACAATGTAGCCCCATAAAATGATGCTGTGACGGATGCTATCTATACGCATCAACTGTAGACTGTGTGTGTAGAAGTAGGGACAGAAGGAAGGATCAGCTTCTGAACGCTGTGATTTGGGTGCGATTGAACGGGATTGGCGGAGTGCACCACGAGCGTCTGCTGAAGTTCAGGGTGAGGTACTGTCATACAGAATATAACGGTGTTGCATTGTGCCTCTGCATCGCCTTATGTTTTTATTAATTTCATAGCTTATGATTTCATATGTTTTTGTAATAATCAATATCACGCTATTGTCGGGTAACTTCAATATGCGGCCGCGCGCAACCCACCCCAAGGGCACTGCGACCATTGTTTCCTTGTCATATTTCATACACAAGGCAGCGACAGCTCTCATCCACCAGCTCGCTGAAATATTAACGTGGCTGCTGGCGTTTCAGTGTGCTTAATGACTACATATACAGGCGGCAGTCTCATCTCATTCATCCACACGATCTGACGCGCAATTAAGGTAGGAAACACACATTATTATAGCGGAGGAACGCCTCTTATGATGAGCTATTACTGTCTGGAAGCCGGTAACTCAAACAAACCAGCCTCAGGCTAATTGTAGCCCGCAATGGAATATTAATATTTGCCCAAATCTGCTTCTGTATCATTAAAGAGAGGGAGGGCACGCGGGAGGAGGTGTGAGATTACGCGCACGCCCGGTGCGTATGCTTCCGCGAGTCGCTCTGCAACTCGATCAGGTTGTAGGAGCTGGTAAAGCGAGAAGACACGCTTCAGAGGCGAGGCGAGGAGGTGGAGAGAGAGAGAGGGCTTTGAAGATAGCCGAGGTGTCCTCGGTGCGGTTCAGGGGTGGACTATGTGGCATGAGTGTTATTGCATCACGTAATATTGTGCTAGTGAAAACAAGCAGGGCTTTTGACAGAGAGAGAATAGAAGAAAGCGTTCAGTATCGGCGGATGATGATGAGGATGCAGTCATAACGAGGGACCAACGCGATAATAACAGGTAACGCACTCAATCCGACCTTTACTCGTGATATGATGTAAAAATAAGCGAAAGCAGTAGAATAAACGTGCAAATGTAGCATTTGGTAAATCTTGATTCAAGTTAAACTGCCGAGACATGATGGATATCCAGTGATTTAAACTTTAAATAATATCAATTAAATATATATTTAAATATAAAAATACATCGTAAATGCAAAATTATATAAAGGTTAGTTATAAACGTAAAACATTAAAAATATATATAAAATCAAAAATAATATATGAATGTAAATTGTGCTGAATGAAAACAAAATAAGTATGATTAATATAGAAATCCTACTGTGAAATATTTTTTTTAAAAACTTGAATATTTTGAATTATTAAATGAAATCATGTGAAATTCATTAATAATTCATAGTTAAAATTGCATTGACAATGCAAGTGTATTTCAGTGAGAAATATATACACATTATATTATTTTTGTATTATTTTATGCAAGAATTGATCGTCAACATGTATATAAAATTGCATTGCAATGCAAGTGTATTTCAGTGAGAAATATATACACATTTATTATTATTTTTACTTCATTATTTTTTTATTACTTTATGTAAGAATGGATCATCGGCAATAGGCCCATAGTCTGTATATTGAAGGCAGTAGATCAGACCTTGTGATTGCAGTTAGGCATCTCAGCTATCACAGGTGTATCCGGATCATCACAGCATTTTAATGTTGAGTGTGGTAATTGTCTTTTTAATTAGATCCCAGGATACCAAGAAGTGATTAAGATTCAACAAAGCTATCAAATCTGTGTCAGAGCAGTAATAGGTTTTTACAAGATGAGTTATCTGAAAGGCTTGCAGAGCAATACAGAGGCTTTTGAAGAAAACTAACACGTACAACTGGCCTTAGAATCTGAATAGATTTTTCATTTGATTTTTGTGCCATTATGAGAGCGCCATGTGACATGAATGAAGCGTCCACCCCTGCAGTGGAGTTGAAAGAGCAGGGAAACCGGGAGGGGACGGAAAAATGGCAGGAATCTCGGCCCTTTTGACAGGCTCTCATAACTCATTCCATGGCGTCATACAACAAAATGTATATAACTTCATTTGGGGAAGGTAAAAGAGAGGAGGGGCTTGGGAATGAATAGCCAGGCATTGTGGCACAGAAAGCTCATGTTTTTACTACGTCTATGACATTTAAAGCCGTTAAGATTTTCAGCTGCTACGTTCATACAGTTATGACTACTGCTGATATCCTCCAATTGTCCCAGCCCATCCTGTTTGTTAGAATAATTAGCCCTTGTGGCATGTGTGCGAGGAGCATATTGTTTAGACATAATTAATCAAGCCTGCTGGTAATTATTGTTGTCCATAAATAAAAACATGAGGGTAGCAGCAGGTGTTCAAGAAGATGTAGCCATCTTAATAACTATAATGCACCTTTTTTGCACCAGAGAGCACAAGATGGTTATTAAATCAAAACAACTTCTTTGCCCTCAATATTTCATCTTCATCCTTCAATCCTTCTTTTCCTTCCCGGCTTTTCGTGAGGATTACTGCAGAACATGTCAGATTTTTTGATTTTTCATAAACATCCTCTTCTCTGAAATTACATTGACTTTAGTCATTTGGGTCTGTGTTTTCTCAAAAGCTCATCTGAGTTGAAGCCAGACTGATGTCCCAGCAGGCTCGACCACAAGCTCAGCATGGGTCAGTTTCAGCACCGCAAACATGCAACAGAACTAGGCTGGGCCGCTGGCTTCGGCTCCGCTGTCGCTCTCCCTTGACCTGTAATGACAGAGTTTCGTGTTTAATTTTAACTCCGCCTCACCCAACTCACCACACTATTTGTATTTCGCCAACATCAGCTGCCGCTAACATTTTTTTTACACGTTGCAATTCAGGGCAGCTGAAGCTAAGCTGTGGAGGAAATCACAGAATCTGCTGTAAGAAAAACATGTTCTGTGTTTGAATATTAGCTGCTAGCTAATCACATTGGCCTAGTGCTGGTATACAATTGTGGTTGTGGTTACGGTTGTGGATATGTTAAACAAATTATTTGAACAACATCATGCAAGGGAAACGTATTAACTAGGGTGTTAATGAAAAAAAAGTATTGCCTCAGGGAGATGTTCACGTCAAGTAGTGTACTGTAAATTGCTTTGGTTTAAAAAAGCTAAATGAGAATAAATAGTAATAGTAAATATAATGAAAATATACCATACCATATACACTACCGTCCAAAAGTTTGGGGTCTGTAAGATTTTTTTAAAAAGGTCTCTTAAGCTCACCAGTATTCATTTAATCATAAATACATAATAAAAAATATTTTTAATATAAATGTAATGTTATAATTATAATAACGTTTAAAACATTTAAACAAACAATTTTAAAATATTATTACTATTTAAAATAGCAGTTTTCTTTTTTAATATATTTAAAAATGTAATGTATTCCTGTGTTGTCAAAGCTGAATTTTCAGCAGCCATTACTCCAGTCTTCAGTGTCACATGATCCTTCAGAAATCATTCTAATGTGCTGATTTGCGGCTCAATACACGTATTATTATTATCAATGTTGACAATGGTTGCAATGCTTATTACTTTTGTGAAAACAGTGATACGTATTTGATAAGTACAATATTTGATGCACAGAAAGTTTAAAGGAACAGCACTTTTCTGTCTTTACTGTCACTTTTGATTAATTAAATGCATCCTTGCTGAAGAAAAATATTAATTTCTTTAAAAAAATCTTACTGACCCCAAACTTTTGTATTGCCAGCTATATTTGTAATCAGATTATTGTTCATCAAAATAATACATTAATTTGCAAAATATTTATAATATTAATATTTAATGCACAATATAATATAGTACATATGTATATGTGTGTGTGTACTACATTATATTAGAATACTAGTTATTATTTTTAAAATAGTGTTGATGATTTGTGTAATTTTTTTTTTTTGTTTAAATATTTTCTCATATCTCGGCTTAATATGCAGACTCAACTGTGAGTTTTCCTGTTTTTGGCTGATTTCTCAAAAAATACTGTAAATGCAATGTACACTGATACATAGTTTGTTTGACAAACCCGAACAGTCCAACACAGTGGATCAGCCAATGGCGTGAGTTTGAGGCAGAACTCTCGGTTTGTTTGACCAATGTCCAATAGCAGGTGGTGCAGAAATCACACTTTTAACATTTAAAAGCAGAAAAATATGTAAATATATACAATATTATTTGGGCCTGTAAGGAAATGTTCTCCAAGCAGGCTTTTTAGTATGGATCTGATTTACTGTCCGTAGAGGGAGATGGGCCAGGGGAGATAAGCTCTATGTCCAGCTGTCACACACTCGTCATGTGAGAAAACGGCTCAGGCCGGAGCAGTCTGGGCAACAGGCACGACACGGGAAACTAACTCAACATGCTTACAACTGCTGCCTCTTGGCTACATCCACCTGCTCGCTGTCCATATTCACTATCCTTTGCCAAAAGACACAAGCATAGTTTTTCCCTTCGCACAGGGACTTTACAAGTGGAAAACACTTGTTCTGAAAAAGCTAATGAAGTGTCCAGAAGACAGATCACTCAACGTTTGGAAAGCTGTGTTCACTTATTCAGCTGTTTCCTGTCATGGTGATTGAGCAATATGCCATCACATCTCGATCTCATTATACTGCCTCCAGCTTGTTTCTGGAGCCCTACCCCGTTTTGATATACGGTGTGGAGAAAGACAGAGCGGGAGAGGTTTACAGTGGTGGTGTGAAGAGAAAGCAAGAGCATTGATGAATGAGAAAAATAAAAAGTAATTGTGATAGGAGGAAGAAACTGCAAGGAAGAGTAAGAAAGAGAGAGAAACAGTCCCTGTGGGGCTGAAACTAGTGATCACTTCCTCCCTGTCGATCCAACCTTCTGTCAGCTGATGCAGGCTTGGGGGAATGATGGAATATTTGGAATGTGGTTACATAATCCGGATGTAAAATAAGGGAAGTGTATTTTTACAGTTACATTAAAAAAGATGTTCATTTATTTTGAACATTACTATGGAGACAAAAACTTGACCCATATAGTTGCAAAAACGTTTAGTTAAAAGTTAGTTTTTTAATTATAAAATCATACTGATACAGACAAAATACTTTTTTTTCGTATAACAATTCCTATTTTTAATTTGTGATGGTTCTTTTAATCTGCATTTTAATTAACTATGTTTTTCGCCTTGTGTTTCACCATGTGTCATTTTTTTGACATGGGGGAGAAAGTAGAGGTAATTTTTTAGAGCTATCTGCTTCTATATGAGTTATCATTTTGACATTTACATTTTTTATGTATAACAAGATTTTAATATGTATATATGAAAAAGTATTATGATGTTACAATTATAATATGATAAAAATTATAATAAATAAATATTACAAAAATGTATTATATGTGTATGTATATACATAAATAGTTTGATAAATATTGATAATAAAATTATGTAATATAAAACTATGTAATATATATACACTGGAGCCAAAAGTTTGAAATAATTACGATATTTTTTTAAGATGTCACTAATATTCACCAAGGCTGCATTTATTTGATAAAATACAGTAAAAACAGTAATATTGTGAAATATTATTTCAATTCAAAATAACTGCTTTCTTTGTTAATATATTCTAAAATATATTTTATTCCTGTGATGGCAAAGCTGAATTTTCAGCAGCAATTACTCCAGTAATAAATAAATAAATCATACACATTTTATTTTATTTATTTATTTATTTATTTTTACAATTTAATAAAATAGAAAACAGTTATTTTAAATTATGATAACATTTCACAATATTACTGTTTTACTGTATTTTTGATTAAATAAATGCAAAACATTAAAATCTTAATGAATTATTCCAACCTTTAGGCTGCCAGTGTATATATAATTTATTTAATATCATTTTACGTATGATCATAGTAGGGATGAGAGAGTGAGGGAGACAAAACCCAGGTTCACCCACATCCAAATTTGCATAGTCCTATATTCATCATTAGGTTGTTTCTGGCATCCCTAGTTAGGCTTGGAATGAGTGATCCTTTACGTCATGCTAGTGGAAATCTTAACTGCAGTTTATTTTCAAGGGATAATTGAGATTAACTTCATCTGTGAGGCATCAAAAGCCAAATGAAAGGAAAGAAGGGAAATCAATGTCCTAACTAAGGGAGTCATGCATTAATAATGAGCAGCCTGTAATGGAATTCTCTGCATCTGTTTCCCGACAAATATGTGCTTGGCCTGCAGTGTTTCGTGAGGGGAGCTTTACTGTGAAAAACTCCAGCACTCGTGATCACACACGTTCACTACAAAAAGTATACTGGGATTCACACTGCATCTGACCTCGTTCTGTACCTGTCACACATTATTAATGCATATAACAGGAATCTCCACAAGCAACACACACATGCATGCATATCAACACACAGGCCCTTCTTTATATTCTTTAAGATTAGTTTTCTTCTTTTAGATTAGTTAATTTAGTTTGCTCTAGGTCAGACAGTGGTCAGACAGCTTAAAGAGATAAGACAGAAACTCTAGAGGAATTTAGCAGAAAGGCAGAGGCAGAGAAGAGGCGAGAGAAGAGAAAAACAAGTGAGGCAGGTGAGACCTGAAAGCTGTCTTTGTGCGTTGCCTGGCAGTAAAAACACTGACCTTCTCTGTGAGACGCCGCACACAGAGACAGGTACACACTTTGATGAGAGGAGAGCACTTTCTTGACAAACACCTCCCCTTCAAAACTGTTGCGTGCTTCCCGGCAGAGCAAACAAACAAACAAACCAAAAAGAACCTCAGTCTCCCTTCAGATTAACTGGCATCAGATTCAATCTCAGCTCTCACTTTCGAGTTAGGCTTCTTAAAGCTGCCTTATTTTTTCACCCCCTTCATCTCCGTTCAACTGGAGCTTGCAGAGGGTAGATGCTATCGCTCCCCAGCTCATGTTTTGCATGTTCACTCCAAACACTGCACCAGTGTGTGTGTGAAAACAGCAGAACCGACTCAGACCACAAGACTAAATACACCAATTTCAAATCAAGCATGGCTTCATACCGGTGCACACAAAGTCTTTTGTGCCCACCACCAGGGTTGGGCACATGATGAGACACTTGATAACGCACCAATGGAGAACTTTGATGTTGTGCAAATTCTGCAAAACTTACTGGACTATGTTATTTTGTTAACTTCCCCTTTTCAAACTGTGAACTGGCCTTTTACAGTGGATATAGAAAAGAATCATCCCCTTTAAAATAATCACATTTTGTTGCTTTGCAGCCTGAAATGAAGACGGACACAGTTTTTGTTTTATCCAGCTGTATTTACTCAGTGCAACTTATAACATCCAAGTGAAAGATAAAACACCAACATGACAGAAAAAAATTAAAACGCAAAATCACTGAGTTGGAAAATGGATCACCCCCTCCTAAAAATGACTTGTTATCTCAATCAGATGCAGCTAATCACCTTCTCAATGGCACACAAAGCCATTTGACTTTCAACTGTGATCAGCTGTAATCATTTTGATTAGCTCATGAAATTTAGCATGAAAAGAGCTTTCCTGGAGCCTTTCAGTCCTTGGTAGTGCAACTGAAGCAAACAATCAACTTTGGGTGGCAAGGCACTGTCAAAAGATCTCCGGGATAAAGTTGTGGACAGGCACAAGTCAGGAGATTGATTCCAATCATTTTCAAAGGCTTTATTTGATTGGCTTAAATACATACAAATATTTTATTGTACTGTACATGAGTTTATTGTCTGGTAGTCATGTTCATGTTTTTTTAAGTACAATGCACCACTTTTTAAAAAATGCCTGAAATATGGCCCTTCACACTGTAATGCACTGGCATACATGATGCATTGCTTGCTCACTAATGTTTTCATGTGTTTGAGGATAGAACAAGAGTGTGTACATGGCAGTGCTGATATGAATGAACAGAAGGCTGTGTACTGAAGTGTGTTGTTGATATCTCTGCTAGGGTAACGCAGAGGGGATTCACTGAGCCATGCAGAGAGAAGGACTACCAAGAGAGAAGAACTTGCACTGCATCACTTCCAGTGGATGACAGCGGAGTGCACACACACTTCTGTCGCATGGGCTTACCGTCCTGTGAACAGACAACTCAGAAGCAGTGAGACGGGAGAGAAAGAGCGCATCCGTGTCTCTGGTTTACGCTGATGGACAAGTGGACATTGGGGCTATGCTGGAGCTTCGGCCCCTGTTGTCCATCCCGTCTCCCCCCTGCTGAAGCTCCCGGCACAGCCCTGGAGCACAGAGGGTGAGAGAGACGGCCTCATGCAGGCACGCAAGAAGTACGTGCTTCTGGGCCTGTGCACGTGCTGCTGGCTGTTGCTCTATTACTGGGGCAGCTTGCAGGAACAGCTCCTGGGTCTCATCACCCACAAGGGGGGGGAGGCGGCACGGCCCTGGCCCAACTGGTTGGATCAGGACCTGCTCCCAGGTTATGCCGACCAGGCCGAGCTACAAAATGGTGGGGGTTCAGGTGACTCACCAAGGCAGCGGCGGCAGTCGTGGGCCGGAATCTACAAGGACAGTCGCTGCAGGATGGACACCTGCTTTGACTTTGCCCGATGTCAAAGGCAGAGTGGCTTTCGGGTCTACATCTATCCACCAGAGAAGGGCGAGCGCGTGTCCGAGAGTTACCGCAAGATCCTCACTTCAGTCACGGAGTCGCGGTATTACACGTCGGACCCTCGAGATGCATGTCTGTTCGTGCTGGGCATCGACACGCTGGACAGGGACCAGTTGTCGACACAATTTGTGCCCAACGTGGATGAGCGGATTCGAGGTTACCCGCTCTGGAACGACGGGAGAAATCACGTCATCTTCAACCTTTATTCCGGAACTTGGCCCAACTACACCGAGGACTTGGGCTTTAATGTGGGCCAGGCCATCCTGGCCAAAGCAAGCCTGAATACGGAACACTTCCGACCGGGCTTTGACATTTCCATACCTTTGTTCTCTAAAGAACACCCCCGGAAGGGTGGAGAGAGGGGCTGGTTAGTTCGCAACACCGTCCCGCCAAGGCGTAAATACTTGTTGATGTTTAAAGGTAAACGTTACTTGACGGGCATCGGCTCAGACACTCGCAATGCTTTGCATCACATCCACAACGGCAAGGACATCGTCTCCCTAACAACATGTCGCCACGGCAAGGACTGGGAGAAGCATAAGGATGCACGGTGTGACCATGACAACCAGGAGTATGAGAGGTAAGTCATGTAAATGAGCCAACGGGGAGTTTCTGTACTTAATGGCATGAGGTTTTAAGAGGAATGATGGCCGTTATGAGATCAGTTTCAGTTTCAGTGACTCAATGGAGTTTGTCAGTGACACCCTGGGCTATGAACTCCGGTTCCTGTGTGTTAAATACAAGAAGCAGCTATCAGTTACCGTGGGGTGTGGGTGACTTATGTAATACACGGCAAAGTGTCAAGAGTGAATAATGCTGAAAATGTATCGAGTGTTCTCTTGAGGATGACATATACGGGGTATTGTACGTTATAAATGTGATTAAAGAAACTTTGACTTGCTGATGTTAGTGTAACTATTAGTTTTCAGCATTGCTTATTAAAAAAATATGAGCAGAATAAATGCAACAAGTGATCCTTCGCTAAGCCCCGCCTCCCTAGGTTCCTGTTGCTTACTCAGACAAGCTTTACTGAACATCAAATATAAATGAACTGAAGATTTCCATGATTGTCAGTATTATTTTAAATTACACGTCACAATATTTATTTAAAGATAAAAAATGAAAAAAATACTGCTTATATCCTCTCAACTTGGTATTTTTTTTACCATTATATGATATATTTTATCATATTTAAATCATATTTAAAAAAAAATTGCAAATACATTTTAATTGAATCTAAAATGTTTTATTTGCATCTAAAACTAAACATGCAGTTCCTTTATAGACTTACATTAGAAAAGAGCAAAAGTAAGGCAGGATTAGTCAGTGACATTTTAAGGCGGGTCTTGGCTAAGGTTAATTTACACAAATATTTTACTTACAATTTACACTGAAATGTGTTCTGCTCACATTTAATGCGTGAGGCCCATTGTGCTTATATAAATGGAGTCATGTGACACAAAAAACAATAAATGACTGTATATCTATGGTGAATAGTACAGTCATATCTCAAGTTATTGTGCACAGCTGTTCTGTGAATCAAACCATAAAGCTTTTAAGCATTTTTTATGCATTTCTAAATTGTTTTGTAACGCATGCATGACCCAACAGAATTAAACAGATTTAGGTAGAGAGACACTGTAGAAGAAATATGGGAAAGGAAGGGAGGAGAACTAATACAGGGCCACAAAACTACCACAGGGAATGTTTATCAAATCCACTGTGGGTCTTAAAGGAGCAGACATGGCCAAGAAGAAACCGAAGAAATGGTCTCAAACAGTTGAACAGTGCTTCAGGCTTGTTTGCTTTTGGTTTGTGGTGGGGACAGAGCTCCACTCAGCACTGGATGAATGTGTTCATTTATTCCATGAGATAGGTTGGGGGGCTCTCCCACCCAGGAACAAACTTAGCCAACTTGTTAGCAGTATCGGTGTTAGTTGGTCCATGATCCATGTAAGGAAGAAAAACATTTATGAAATACTTTATTTCTTCTGGAATGAACATGGCGGCTTGCTTCGTGGAGCTCTAAGCAGGAAAAGTGTGTTGTATGCACTGGCAGGGGGGATTGTGACTGCTGAGGAGTTGGTGGAGGAGTGGGCGGTATGACTAAAATCTTATGGCGGTTTAAGAGTACAGTATATATTATGATAATGATCATTTTAGCAGGAAAACTCAACCTGAAAATGTTTTGTATGTTACATAAAATGTATTCTTGTCTTTTAATTTTTCATTTAGTAAAATAAATACTCTACCATAAAAGGGATAGCATGAACAGATTTCATGTCATTTTTGTTATTTATTTATTTTATAAAAAAATCAATTGTTTTATTTTCTAAATGTATCAAATTAAATTTATTTTTTACTTTTTTGTTTTATATTATTCATTTTAACTAGATGAACATGAACCAAAAGCTAACAAATCATTGATAAGTCTGGAATCAGTACAGAAACAGCTTTAACATTATGTGATATTTGAGAAATAACTTTTAACTTAATAAATATGAGCTGGAATGTGCTGAGCTGCACACCTGAGATCAGTTGAAGTCTATGTTAATATGGTGAACTGTACTGACAAAATCATTTTTAATCTAGTGCCCGATTCAAAAGTTTAGGGTGAGTCTATATTTATTTAAAACCCTAAAAACTGTAATATTGTTAAATTATATTACATTTCAAAATAGCTGTTTTCTATTTTAATATATTTTAAAATGTTAGATGGCAAAGCTGAATTTTCTGCATCATTACTCCCTTCTTAAGTATGACATGGTCCTTCAGAAATCATTATAATATGCTGATTTGCTGCTCAATAAACATTTATTAATATTATTTTCAATGTTAAAAACAGTTGTGCTTCTTAATGTTTTTGTGGAAACCATGATACATTTTTTTCAGTATGTTTTGATGAATAAAAAGTTCAAAAGTAACAGTATTTATCTGAAACAGAGACCTTTTGTACTATTATGAATGTCTTTAATGTCACTTTAGACCCATTCATTGCATCCTTCCTGAATAAAAGTATTAATTCACAAATTTCTTATTGACTTTTAAACAGTAGTGTATGTATATACTTAAATGATATAGCTAATGGTTGACACATTTCTACCGTTCATACCGCCCAGCCCTTTGTTGTAGTTTTAAGATTGTTGGACACAGAATGTCACAAACTTGAGGGAAAATGGGAAGACAAGCAGCGACACAGCGAATTGGGTCTCTCTCTTATTTCACTGCTGTGGTACCGCTAGGAAGCTAAGGTGCCAAACTCAGAAATAGAACTTAGGAGGTTCTCTCGGGTTAATGATCACCAGCATCTGCTACTTCCACAGATTAACCTGAAGGCACACCGAGCACCATACTGAACTCTTGCCCCGGGTGGAGAGATAGGGATGAACCTGGGGATGCTTCAGGAATGAGACAGAGGAACTTACTGCAACCAAATGGCCTACATTCATTCACTTTTCAGGGCTCTTTAAAAAAAGGGGGGTGGGGGGTTGAGGGGGGACTTGCATTGTACTGGGAATGTAAATGAGAAAGAGTGAGAGAGAGCTTGTGGGAAGAAAAATAGGGCAAGCTGTTTCGGGACAGTTTTGGGACACACAGACGGAGGATTATACTGCAATACTGATTATACTCTCTTCAATACGACCGTAGACTTCTGGGAAAGCATTAGAATGTGGTTGGATGTGTGTGTGTGTGTGTGTGTGTGTGTGTGTGTGTGTGAGTCTGAGGGTGTAATAGTAAAATGCGGTACCTTTCTTGACAGCTAACAAGGTCTCCATGACTACACTCCTACCATGTGCAAGACGTTCATAAAGAAGAGGTCATTATTCTCGATTCTCAAGGAGAAAAGAAGAATAATGCACTGCCTTTTTACATCTGCCATTGAAAATAAAACACAACTAAAGGAAAACACACACTCCAGGCGTAATAGTACTATTTTTAGTGAATTATCGCTTTGGAAGTGAATGTAAATGTTCATAACTGCGCTTAATGAACTTAATAAGGACCTTAACAGCGGCCTCTCATTCGCTCCGTGACCTTGTGTGTGTGTATTTGCGTACAATCGTTGGCAGGATCCAATAAGAAACGCTACACCCCACTGTAATTAGGGGGATATGAAATTGTACCCCTAGAAAGAGTGTGGTTTGTGTGGCTCGTGCACAAGCCAGCACAAACTAGGTTTATTTAGAACAAATAAAGAGAGAGGGAGAGGGCAGTCCATCTTTCTCTCTTGTCTTTTGTGTGCTCTGTTGTTTTTTTCCAAGTTCTGTGTTTTTCTCTCACCGGGATTCTTCACCCCAACCCCATCCCCCTCCTTACCTCACCACTCACCAATCCCTTGACCCTCTTTCCCCATCTATCCAGGCCAAGTGTTTTACATACACACACGCATTTGCTTATTGGTGCGCAGACTTAGGCATGCTAATTTGCTCTTCATGCATGGTCACTTTTTTCAGTCCAGCATACACCTCAGACACATAGACATCACATGCACACTTATCAGTGTGCTAAACATGTTCACTCCTCTTCATAACCAGGATAAAATCATGAAGGGTAAAGGCCATGACCTACAATTCCCAGGATTCATGGATAAAACATTACATCAGACCACTCAACCTTAAATATATATATATATATATACACACACATACATACATACAGTAGGTATAGAAAAGAATCACCCCCTTTAAAATGATCACATTTTGTTGCTTTGCAGCCTGAAATGAAGACAGAGGCAACTTTTGTTTTATCTAGCTGTATTTAAATCAAAGTGAATAATATAACACCAACATGTCATAAGAAAAATTAAAAAAACAGAATCACCGAGTTGGAAAAAGGATTACTCCCTTGTGTCAGTATTTTGTTGAACCACCTTTTGCTTTAATTACAGCATTTAGTTTGTTGGGATTTGTCTCTACTAACTTTGCACATCTAGACTTTGCAATATTTGCCCACAAGTCATTCCACAGATTTTCAATGGGGTTTAAGTCTGGGCTCTGACTAGACCATGCAAGGACATCTTTTTATCCTTTAACCACTGTGTGGTCAGTTTTTCTGTGTGCTTTGGGTCACTGTCATGTTGGAAGGTAAACCTTCTTCCCATTGACAACTTCCTGGCAGAGGGCAGCAGATTTTCCATTTTCATTCCCATCCATTTTTACTTCTCTCCTGACAAGTGCTCCAGTCCCTGCTGCAGAGAAACACACCCATAACAGGATATTACCACCTCCATGCTTTACTGTAGGAATGCTGTTATTTGGATGGTGAGCTGAATTGGATTTCTGCCAGACATATCTTTTGGTGTTGAGGCCAAATAATTCAATTTTAGTCTCATCTGCCTCAGAATCTTCAAGGTTTGTTTTGCCAGAGCTCAGTTATGACTGCATGTGGCATTTCTTGAGGAGTGGCTTTTTTCTTGCAACCCTCCCGTACAAGCCACATTTGTGGAGAATTTGTTGCCACATGCACACAATGACCAGTCTTTGCCATAAATTCCTGCAACTGCTTCAGAGTTGCTGTAGGCCTCTTGGTCGCCTCTCTGACCAGTTTCCTCCTGGCTCTTTCATCCAGTTTGGAGTGACG